GTGTGCCCTGGAGCCGCACTGCCACGCAGGCGCACGGGCCCTGCTTAGCCCACCTCGTCTGACGCCACCAAAACCTCCTACAGTGCCAGGATCTGGGCGGCACGGACAGGCACCCAGACGTGCACAGGACCAGTGACCGGACGACACAAATGTGACGGGAATCGTGTGCTGCGGAGCGAGGCGAAGCTTTATTGAGGAGGCGGGCAGTGTGCAAGGTCTGGGTCACCCTCACCCTGGCAGGCGGGAGAGGAAGGCGGGAGTCGGTCGGGGTCTGGAAGCTGAAGGTCCCTGAAGGGCCAGGGGTGAGGCCGGGGCGAGCTCCACCTTTGCGTGGGGGCCTCCTGTGCCCGTGCTGGGGGCTCGGGACCCGCTCAGAGAAGCTCCAGGCCGCCAACCGCCCTACATGGGCCGCACCTTCATCTCGGCCGCCTTGTAGCTGTAGTACCCCTTCCCTGAATACCAGTAGATGCCGTTCCCAGAGCTCCCACCATAGCGCCCGTTCAGGTGTGACCAGTGGGAGCTGTAGAACCACCAGGCGCCCTGGTAGGTCACAGCGTAGTTGGAGGAGGTCCCGTCGTTGTCCTGGTCTTTGGTGGAGAACTGGGAGTTGTTGTGATAGGTCAGGGAGTCACCTGCCGGGAGAAGCGGGGCCCCTTACACTCAGTGCCAGGAGGTGCCGGCACCAGGTCCGGCCGGAGCTGTCCAGCTGCGCGTCTTCCGCTGAAAAGTCTGACGGTGCCGCGCACGAAAGCGAACGCTCGGTCGGCGGATCCCCGGCCTCGGTATCCCCCCTCTGCGGGTCTGGGCGGCACGGACAGGCACCCAGGCGTGCACAGGACCAGTGACCGGACGACACAAATATCACGGGAATCGTGTGCTGCGGAGCGAGGCGAAGCTTTATTGGGGACACGTGCGGTACGCAAGGTCAGGGTCACCCTCACCCTGGCGGGCAGGAGAGGAAGGCGGGAGTCGGTCCGGGTCTGGAAGCTGAAGGTCCCTGAAGGGCCAGGGGTGAGGCCGGGGCGAGCTCCACCTTTGCGTGGGGGCCTCCTGTGCCCGTGCTGGGGGCGCGGGACCCGCTCAGAGACGCTCCAGGCCGCCGACCGCCCTACACGGGCCGCACCTTCATCTCGGCCACCTTGTAGCTGTAGTAGCTCGACTGCGCTGACCACCAGTGGATGCCGTTCCCAGAGCCCCCACCATAGCGCCCATTCAGGTGGGACCAGTGGGAGCTGTGGAACCACCAGGCACCCTGGTAAGTCTCAGCGTAGTTGTCGGAGGTCCCGTCGTTGTCCTGGTCTTTGGTGGTGAACAGGGAGTTGTTGTGTTGGGTCAGGGAGTCACCTGCCGGGAGAAGTGGGGCCGATTACACTCAGTGCCAGGAGGAGGCGGCACCAGGTCCAGCCGGAGCTGTCCAGCTGCGCGTCATGTGCTGCGAAGTCCGAAGGTGCCATGCACACCAGCTAACGCTCGGTCGGCGGATCCCCAGCCTCGGTATCCCTCCCTCTGCTCTGTGCCGCCAGCGAACGGGCACTGTGCCCCTTGGAGGGGAGGCCACTGCCCGAGACGTCCAGGTCCCTCGG